TAAAATATTAGACACTAGGGCTGGGCATTGGTGGCACAAACCTTTAATCCCAGCACTTGGGAGGCACAGGCAGGAGGATCTCTGTGAGTTCGAGGTCAGCCTGGTCTACAGAGCGAGTTCCAGGACAGCCTCCAAAGCAACAGCATTAAACATGAATAACTAGCATGAGGATCACAGATGTAAGCAGGTGTAGACAATTTAGCAAGACCTGGTCTCAAAACAAAGAGGGTGTGCAGCTCACCTTATTGACCAACGCTTTTCCAGTATGTGTCCAGCCCTGAGGGAACTGTTCAGAGCCAATTGAGGAAACTGAGGTTTTTCTTTCTTATCTCAAAATAACTATAGTATAAAATACTTTTTGGTATGCCTTTTGTTAAGCAGTTCTGGAGAATGCTCTGTGTTTAAGATAAACTCTTTGTACCACGATGTCGAGGGAAACAGATGCACTTCTTGCCTTCAAGATGCCCAAGATGGATGGTAATAGCAGACATTATTAATGTCTGATATTTGAGTTTTACAAAATTAGGGTTTTATTAAACCTGCCATAAAAGCTAGTACCTTAGATTAGATACAAACATCATCTTATTTTATATATGACATTGATAGAATTTAATTAACTTCCTCATGGTTATACGGTTATTAAATAGGAGAGCTGGTATTAAAACCCAGATAGTCTACCTCCAGAGCCCAGTGCTTGTTTAACTACCTGGTGGGTGGTAAATAAACATATAATAGTCATTGTGATTACTGGGGGCTGCTGGGTCCCAGTGAAGCATCTGTCACTGTCACCCTGGCCAGCTCGTGGAGTCAGATGGGTAGAACGTGCATCCCTCGCTCTGAAGCCGCTATTGAATAGCCTGGGTGGGTGTTCCTAACGGACAGCTGTCCCGTTTGCCCAGCTGAGCTGAACTTGTACGAGCAGTCACTCCTGCTGGCCCTCTGTGCTTCCTGCAGGCTCATCCTGAGGGGAGGACAGTTACCAGGGCTGCATGAGGCAGGCAGGACGCTCAGGGTGGAGGTTGAAGAAGCCACATCATGTAGGAGCCATGGCCATTTCCCACTCTCAAACCAGTTTAGAGAATGGAGTTTAAAGAGTAGCAAGGACTCAGAGACACTGGAGAAGGAAGGTTGTCTTCTTAGGGGTTTATGGAAACACAGAGCATAAAGACTGAAGATCACAGAGTGCTCAGGCCAGGTAGCTGCCTCCCTAGGGAGGTGATTAAACCAGTATTGAAGAATAAAGATATAAATGTGGGGTGGATTAAGGGTAGTGGTGCAGGAACTATAGTAGCAGCCTGTCCAAATAGTTTAAGGAACTGAAAGAAGCCAGCACACCCAGAGCAGGCCTTGGGTGGGAGAAGGAAGGTCATGGTCCTAATGGAATGAGCAGTAAGACCAGGCCATCTCATCTGAACTTTAGACCATACTAGGAAATTTGCATCTTATTCTCTACACCAAGGAAATGCCTTGAATTTAGAAGAGTCATGGATTACTGTATCATCATTATCATTATTTTGGTTTTTTCGAGACAGGGTTTCTCTGTGTAACAGCCCTGGCTGTCCTGGAACTCTCTTTGTAGACCGGGTTGGCCTTTTCTAACTCATAGAGATCCGCCTGCCTCCGCCTCCCCAGTGCTGGGATTAAAGGCGTGTGCCACCACAGCCCGGCCTTATTTATTATTTTGAAATTCTGTGTGTGTGTGTAAGAGCAAGAGAGAGAGTGAGATTACGTGTGCAGGGCAGAGGACAACAGGTAGGATTGAATTTAGTTATCAGGCCTGGTGGTCAGCTCCTTTTCCTGCTGAGAAAGGGTGACATTCAGATGTCTATCTGGAGCAGCTGGATGGACATCCATTGACCTGGTGTATCAGTGGCAGGAGAACAGCTGTGGACCTTCTCAGTGCTCCTGTGTCTTTCCCCAGGACTGCCTGCTGTGTGGCTGTCTAAGGAAAGGGCTTCAGGAAGAGATGGGGCTTTGTGGGGGGTCTTACATTTATAGATGGCATTTAACTTGAAATCATGGGCTGTGAGGTTAATTTTCTCATTTCTGTGACCAAAGATCTGACAGGAGTAGTTTAAAGGAGCAAAGGTTACTTTGACAGAGTTCAGTCTGTGGTTGCCTGGACCCATAAACTTGAGCAGATCATCATGGGGACTGAAAAGATAAGATGACCAATCCAAGCAAGCTCCTTCCAGCTAAATTCCACCTCCCAAGTACAAACATAAGAAACAGTGTGTGTGTGTGTGTGTGTGTGTGTGTGTGTGTGTGTGTGTGTGTGTGTGTGTGTGTGTGTGTGTGTAGGTCAGAGGACTTTTGAGTTGGTTTTCTCCTACTATTTGAATTCCAGGAATCAAACTCAGGTTGTTAGGCTCAACCATTATCCTCTGAGCCATCTGGTTGGGCCCTCCCACCTCCTAAATTTTTAACTCTCTCAAACTAGACATGGTGGCACATCTCTGGTTCCTGAGTTCCGGAGGTAGGGGCAGAAGCATCAGGAGCTCAAGGTTGTCTTCAGCTGTATAGTGAGTTTAAGGCAAACCTGAACTATATGAGACTTTGCCTAACGACAACAAAAGGAAACAGTGGTGTCACCAGCTGGGGACCAGTGTTTAACCGCCTGTGGAGGACATTCCGTGTAGAACACAGGTATAGAGGAGGTCATCAGGAGGAGAATGGAGAGAACACAGGCCATCCCTGGGAGAACTCCATTATCAGGAGCTTAAGCAGAAGTGCACAATGCAGAGACGGTCTGGAAAGCCTGTGGAAGGCGGATGAGGATGTCTGTGGGGACATGAGAGGAAGGGGAAGTGGTAACAATGCCAGATGCTAACCCAGAAAAGTGATCACTGGGCTTGGTCACGGGGCCTCTGGTCCCAGAGTGTACTTTGAAGAGCAGAGGTGTAGGTTAGGAGCTCTTGTATAGAGTTTGAAGGGTTTGAGAAAATACAAACCATTGGATCTTCAATTTCTGATTTTCAGCTCTATCTATCTATGATGGTGTTCAGGCATTTTCCTAAATCCTCAGGTGAAGCTAAAATGAATGGCTCCCATATCTTGAGAATTTGGAGATCTGTAAGCTTTGGAGAACTTTTTAACTATTGTGGGGAGTAATCAAAAGAAGTTAATGAAGATGGAAAATTTCTAGAGCATATTCTGAAATGAGTGACCCAGAAAAGAGATGGTTTTTTATAGCTCTGTGGTAGAGGGTTCACCTTCCATCCAGTCCCCTGGATTCAATTCCCAGTCTGTCCCTGTCCTTTTCTGTCTTTCTGTCCGTCCTATCTCATCCACCACACACACACACACATACGCACACACACGCGCGCGCGCACGCATTGGCATGTAGTGTGATCCAGTGTTACAAGGGAAGAAGGGGGATGCAGAGGAATGTCACTGAGATGTGGGAAGGCTTCAAAACACTCAGTCTGGGGTTTTGATCAGAGAGGATGCCTTAGAGCAAGAGAGGCCATGGAGAGAGGGCATTGGCCAAGGACAGCTGGGGCACAGGTTTGGATGAAGAGGTGGAACTTCCTTTTGTAGCTTATATTTTCTCAAGGAAAGGGGTGTGGGGGTGGAGGATTGAGAAGCAAAAATTCAAGTGATTATTTTAGAGTAGATAATGACCTGATGAAAAAAGTGATACTGTTTTACAGCATATGAAATTATGCTCAGAAGTTAAAATTTCAACCAGTCTGATTATATACATTGTTTTTCCTTCAACCACAGTTACTTGGATTTAGACATGGGTAATTAAGTGGTTGGGGTCACCTGTGGTTAGACTTTATCCAAGGAAAGGGTACAAGGGAGTGATTATCACCATTGAGCAATTAGGGGACTGGAGACTGGAAAGACAGTGATGATTAGGTTAGCAGCTCTGCAGTAGTCTAGGTGAAGTAAACTAAAGCAAACTGTAGGAGGAGCTGTGGGGGTGGGGAGGGCGCTGGAGCAAGAGAGGTGGAGTTTCCTGAGAGGTCAGGAAACAGGACATTGGATTTGCCCTCTTGGATGTTGTAGTTGCCAAGAATGTTGACACAAGTTGGGAATGGAGGGATTCTCTCTGATAGGACAAACTTTTGGTGGGTGATGGAAAAGTCTAGTCAACAGATAACAGCAGCAGAGCTGAGGATTTCAGAAGAGCAAGCAGGGGCTTTTGGAAAGCAAATGGGAAGAATTTGTGCAAAGACGCATGGCCTACAGGGAAGGGCCTGTGCAGAGAGAGCGCCCTCTGATGGCAGGACTGCAAGAGAAGTGTCTGGTTAGCTTACTGCCACAGAGAGGGGGACAAGGAAGACTCAGAAAGGCTGGAAAATTCCAAAAGTGGTACACAAATCAAATTGACAGTTAATAAGTGAGGATCCATGTAGGTTTGGGTGACTCCTGGAGTAAGGGCAGAAAGTTCTGAGCACAGCATCCTAGCTAAGGGCGATGCTGCGCTGTCGTCATGGTGCTGTTTTCCCATTTGGGTTTTATTCTGTGGTCACTGTGTCCATCACTATTATAAATGTCAGTGTGTCTGCACCCCCCCCTTCCCACTGTACCTCAGTCTATGAAGTGCCCAACAAGGCAACAGAGAGCCCTGGGCACAGTACACAGAGATTATCAGTGTGTTGTCTCCTTTAAACAGGCTGTGAAGTTCATTATAACATGGCCACGCCCGTTTTGTAGGTTCTTATTCTCTGGCTGCTTTCAGGAAACAGCTGCAAGCTGAGTGTCGGGGACCTTAGGTGGGGTCTGGAGAGTCTGAAATGCTACTGTGTGCACGTCTCTGGGGAGCACTTGACACTGCTGATGTGGGCGCAGAAGAGACAGAAGAAGCATCGAGAATAAATTGGAGCCTTCTCTGGGCAGTGGGCGATGAGTCATTGTAGTCTTTATCTTAGTTTCTCTTTTTCTTCTTGTGTCCTGCCACACATCTAACTTGGAAACGAAGTGGCCTTGAAAGGCTTGTAACGGTGTTTGGGGTACTTCTAATGGTGGCCCTTTGTTGTCCCCCTCCTCAGTGCTGCCTTTGATACAAAGACGGGCCATCGTGTGGCCGTGAAGAAGCTGTCCAGACCCTTTCAGTCCATCATCCATGCCAAGAGGACCTACAGAGAGCTGCGCCTGCTGAAGCACATGAAACACGAGAATGTGAGTTACCCCTGTCCCGTGTCCGCCTCACTGCAGGTGGACAGACGTGCTGCCTAAGTGCCGCCGCTGCCGTGTCGTGGGACTGTCAGGTCAACCTGAGGACACGGGTCATGCCTCTTATTCCCAGAGCTTAAGAAGCTCTTAATTTTTATTTTAATAAAAACAATCATATGTAGTTTCTGTGCTGTGTGTTTGCCTGCTTGAGTTTTTGTGTGTCATGGGGTGCAGTGCCCTTGGAGGCCAGAAGATGTCAGACCCCCTGGAACTGGAGTCACAGGTGCTTGTGAGCCATCATGTGGGTGCTGGGAACCAAACCTGGCTCTTCTGCAAGAGCAGCCAGTGCTCTTAACTGCTGAGCCCTCTCTCCACCCCGATACCTTTCTTTGCATGTATCTCTTTATGCTATGGTATGCTATGCATGTGTGCACACGCGTGTGATGTCAAAGGACAGCTTGTGCGAGTTGGCCCACAATGGTTTGTAAATCAAGTTCCAGGGGATCTGATACCCACTTCTGGCCTCATGTGGGTCACAGACATAACATGCAGGCAAAACACCATACACACAAAATGATTTTAAAAGAAAGATGGGAGGTCTTTTTTAATAAGTTTTTACATTATGTGTACATGTTTGTGTACATGTGGAGGTACATGCACATGTGTTCAGTGCCGTAGAGGACAGAAGAGGACATCAGATCTCCTGGATCTGGAGTCTGTCACCTGATTTGGTTGTTGAGAACAGAACTCTCTCCCTTAGAAGGATGGCTGAGCCACTCTGCAACCCCAGAAGATGAGTTTCAGTTTTGTGTGCTAGTGCTTTTTCTCAATATATAAAAAAATGTATTGAGGGAAAGAAAAGATTTATTTATTATGTATACAGTGTTCTGCCTGCATATATCCCTGTACACCAGAAGAGGGCGCCAGGTCTCTTGACAGATGGTTGTGAGCCACCATGTGGTTGCTGGGAATTGAACTCAGGACCTCTGGAAGAGCAGCCAGTGCTCCTAACCTGAGCCATCTCTCCAGCCCCCGGCACTCTCTCTTTGTATTTCAGGGTGGTCAGGTTCTAGTAGCAAAGGCCGGTTGCTCAAATATTGGTGGTTTGCATCTTTTAAAGGTTTGCTTGTTGCTGGGTTGGTGGCGCACGCCTTTAATCCCAGCACTTGGGAGGCAGAGGCAGGCGGATCTCTGTGAGTTTGAGGCCGGGCTGGACCGTCAGCCTCCAAAACAATACAGAGAAACCCTGTCTCATAAAACCAAAAAAAAAAAAAAAAAAAAAAAAAAAGGTTTGCTTGTTTGTGTGACACAGTCACACTGTGTAGCCCTGGCTGTTTGGAACCACTGAGCTGCTCCAGCCCAATTGCTTTGGGGTTTTTTGTTTGCTTGGTTTTTTTGTTTGTTTGTTTGTTTGTTTTGTTTTGTTTTTTTGTATTTTGAACAAAGTAGGCATATGGTTGAATGTCTCAGTTTTTTTTCTTTGGTGTGAAGGGAAAATGGGAAAAGACCAGAAGACTTAATGTAGAAGTCATCTCACCGTTCAGACTATTCTGCAAACATTTATTAGGCACTTAAAATGTCAAAACAGTTTTATGCAGTAAAGAACAAGACTTGGGCCTGGAAAGATGTCTCAGTGACTTTAAGCACCTGCTTCTCTGGAAGAAGTTCCCAGCAACTCCATTGTGTGACTCACAACTGCCTGTAACTCTGGTTTGAGGGGATCCAGTGCTTCCTCTGGCCTCTGAGGAAACACACACACATGCACCCACACACACTCACACACTCTTAATATTTAAAAAACAAAACTTTCAGCAAGTTTGACTGGCCTCCAAAGAGAATAGCAACAGCCATAATCAGGCTCTTAAAGACCATAACAAATATTCAGTCTTTTATCCAAAAAGAAAATTCTAATGGTAACAAGCGACAGAGCCACAGTCACTGTGTGGGAAGGCAGCTAGAGGGCGTCTTCTGTGACTAAGCAGACTCAGCAGGCTTCTCCACCTGCTGCGAGGGCCGTTACTGAGAGGCAGCCTTCCAGCTGAATCCTTAGCTGTCTGCAGTTAGGAAAGAGCTTGCTTGCTTGTCTTCGGGGACTACATATCTCCTCCAAGATTGTCTCAGGAGCCCAGGTCTGACCTTACTGTGAAGAGCACGAGGTTGCTTATGTGGGTGCAAAGTTTAGTAAAAATGTATTATTTCAGACTGGCACCTTTTGGACCATTGTAGACTAATTAACAATCTTTGCTGTAAAGGTCCTGTCTAAGAATTTGACTTCTTGTTTACTTGTGCTGCTTACTGGCTTGCTCAACCTGCTGTCTGATAGAACCTAGGACCAGCATTCTAGGGTGGCCCCATGCACATCAATTGGCAGTCAAGAAAATGTGCCCACAGGCCAATCTGATGGGGACGCTTCCTCAGCTAAAATCCCCCTCTTCCCAAAATAACAAAAACTAGCAGTAAAGAACAAGACTTGGGGCATTGGTGGCGCACGCCTTTAATCCCAGCACTCGGGAGGCAGAGGCAGGCGGATCTCTGTGAGTTCGAGGCCAGCCTGGTGTACAGAGCAAGTTCCAGGACAGCCTCCAAAAGCCTCGGAGAAACCCTGCCTCAGAAAAAAAAAAAAAAAAAAAAAAGAACAAGACTTGGGCCTGGAGAGATGTCTCAGTGTAAGTATTAAAAGTTGGTGAGAGATAGAGCAGCGTGCTTTTACCCATTGTCCTTTCCAGGCTCCTTGTTTCTTGTGTTAGTTTAATCATTGGAATGGCTTAATTTTGTTTTTATTCAAAGGCTGCTGCTAAAAGTAGGTTATTCAGGAAGCTGGTTTGCATGAGTTGTATTTTGTGACTCTGTTTTTGATAAAGGGTTTCACATAGCCCAGGCTGGCCTCAAACTCACAGTAGCCAAGGATGGCCTTGAGTTCCTGATCCTCTTGCCTTCACTTCTAAAGGGCCGGGCCTATAGACATACATTACTGCTATCAGCTCTATTTTGTTTCACATCATTTGATCTAAATATCAACTAATTAAGAATGTTATCTTGAGACTAATGTGGCAATAATACCAATATATTAAGGTAATATTTGGTGGCTTACATATTGGGTTTGGCTGGGAGTGGTGGCACTCACCTGTAATCCCAGCATTGAGAGGTGGAGGCAGGAAGATCAGTCCAAGCTAGCCTGGGCCACACCCCAACCCCCCAAAAAGAAATGGTGTGGGAGGCAAGTGAGTGCCAAGCATCCACCGAGGGCCTGATGGGTACCGAAGGAGCCCGCTGCTTTCCGACTGTTTGTTTTCATGTGTTCTTGCAGGTCATTGGTCTGCTGGACGTGTTTACACCCGCAAGGTCCCTGGAGGAATTCAACGACGTGTGAGTGAATCTTTTGCATTTGTCACCTCAGCTGGAGGGTGGGGGTGAGCAGCCCACAGCACCACTCAACAGTAATGAGACTTCAGGAGAGCTTGCTGTCACCTTGGGCTCATTTCAGGCACAGTGTGGCCCACTCAGAGCGAGCGATGAGCTCTTCGGACAGTTCCACAGAGGGGAAGTCTAGGGAATTTTGACTATAACTTCTTTTCCTAAAATGATAGTCCACATAGGTATTTCCCTCTTTGACCCCTCATGGATAGGGGAGGTGATCCCGAAGCTACATGCTGGTCCCTGAAAGTTTTTGTGCTGGGGCAGATGGCACAGCCTCCAGGTTGGAAAAGATTTCTTCCAGTCTGGCACCTCCTGGAAACCAAGCCTGGGAGTCCTGGGAGCCAGAAGTGGAGAGTCAGGGAAATAAAACAGGAGGAGGGAGAGGTAGTGCCTTGATGTGTTAGTGGCCAGTCACCACTGAAAACTGCCGGGGGGTAGAGAAGTAACTCTACACCTCAGAGGGGACCATTCTGATGGCTCCTGAGGCGTGTCCACTCTCCAGGAAAGCCTTCACAGGCTGCGTGACCTCTGTGAGAGCAAGACTGAAGCCAGCAGGTGTCCTATGCAAGACCGGCCTCCCCACCACAGCTTTCTTAGTGTCTTTAACACCCTGCATTGTTTTCAACCTGATAGACTCCAGAGTCACCGCTGGCCTTGGGCATGCCTGTGGGGATGGATGTCTTGAGGGAATTAATAGAGGTGGGAAGAACCATCCAAATTGTGGCTGGGGATCAGAGTGTAGGACAGAGAAGAGCAAGTTGGTCAGTAGCGTCTTAACTCTTCTGATTGGTTGTTGGTGCAGAGTGGTCAGGTGCCTGCGACTGACTCCACTCTGATGAACTGTACGCTGTGACTGAGCCAGAGTACACCTTCTCCCTTAAGTTGCCCTATCCTGCTTTACAGACACACTGTGCTGTAAGAGCAGAAACCCTTAGGCACAGTTACACAGCTGGTCTTGTTGGGATTCTGGCATCCCTAAGTGGAAAGGATGTTTATTGTAAAAGCCAAACAGAATTGTAAGTCACTGCTGATCTTTCTGAACTGTTTGTGCTAGTAATTTTATCTCGAGTTTTTAGAGTTGTTTAGAGTTTTTAGAGGTTCTAAGTCACAGAGAGGTGGGCCCATGACTTTTAGGCTTCTGCTAGAGTCACCAGGTAACAATGGTAGGGAATGTTGGTCTAACAACAACTACTCATTCCGTGGCTAGAAAGGGACCAGGATTCCAGTTTTCAAAGCCACACCCCTGCTGCCCAGAGGTTTCACTGCTCCTAATAGCACCCTTATGGGGGTGGGGAGTCACTCACCATCCAGATTTTAACACTTCACTCCCAATGCTCCCAGTGCAGAGCCAGCTTTTCTCCACTCTTTCTTTGGGCGGTGTGTCAATCCCATTTAATCTTTTCCCACAAAACAAGCAGGCAGATGTTTTCACCTGTGTTACCGTTATAGAAAAGGGAAGAGACAAGGGGGCAAGTGAATGGCAGAGGTGGGGGAGAGGAGGAGAGGCATCTTGGCCGATGCACAGGAAGGAACTCAGCCACAATAACCTGACCCCGCAAATGAGCGTTTAGGAAGCAAATAGTAACCAAGAATGAATGACAGGCTGTTCCCGCAGCCTTGTCTCAGCACCAGAACACAGGCTTCCAAGGATTGCCAGAGGCTCCGCACACAGCTGAGCATAGACTATGGAGTCCCGCTGCAAGCTGCGGTTGGAAACGAGACTGTTGTGGAATCCAAATGAGGAACAAATGCTCCTGCAGGTTCCTGTGACTTACTCTGGAAAACATTGGAGTTGGGACTGAATTTTAACCTAAGGCTTTTGATGAGGATAGATAGACTTTAACAGGAAAAAAAAAAGATTTATGGACTAGCAAGTATTGTGCTTAGTTTAACTGAGCATCCTAGTATGGAAAATGGGCCTGTTTTTCTTACATAGAAAAGGCCTTACTGACGGCTGCTGTCAGTTTGAGGAGTTAAATTTTACTGACTGTAGTTTTATTACCCATAGGGAAGCCCAGCAACTGCCAGTGTGTCCCCAGTAAAGTAAACTTGCATTGATGGATTCAACAAGTGCCTGACTGCCAGAGGCACTGTTTTCTCTGTTCACCTCCAGCTGGGCTCTAACTACTCTTGGTTTGGGTGGTTTATTTGTTTTTTAGTTTGGGTTAGTGTTTTAGTGGTGGTGGTATTGTTTTGTTTTTTGTTTTGGTTCGGGGTTGGCTGGTTTGGTTTGGTTTGTTTCCTAAGACAGGGTTTCTCTGTATTACATACAGCCCTGGCTGTCCTGGAACTCGCTCTTGCTCTTGTAGACCAGACTAGCCTTGAACTCAGAGATCCACCTGCCTCTGCCTCCTGAGTTCTGGTGCACCACCACCACCTGGCCTGTAGGGTTTTTTGTTTGTTTTTTATATTTTTTGTTATTTTATGTGTATGTAAGTGGCTGTGTGTGATACCTAGTGTCTGTGTAGGTCACATCTTGTGACTGGAGCTGTTGGTGGTTATGAGCCACAATAAGTGTGCTGGGCAGGAGCAGCCTATGTTCTTAACCCTTGAGCCTTCCCTCATCCAGCTTTTCTGTGAACTGAGCAGCTCTTGGGTGCTGCCTGGTGAACACCTCCAAGACAGCTAGCGCATGCTCTCCCTGGAAACAGTGGGACCTGAGATTTCGGTTAGGAAAGTATTTACATGCCGACTTTGTATGATGTTGATAGCAGTCAACAGTAACAGTTAACACCTGTCTGTACTCTCCAGTCAGTGTAGAGCACACCCAAGAGAACACACTTCTGCAGTATAATCGCAGAGTGACTGTCCCGTGTTACACCGCTGCTGCGTATGCCAGAGCCTGTGTCCACTGAGAAAAACCGGGCAGTCAACAATACAGCTGGATACAGAGCAGGCTCTGATTTTGATATGCATTTCCTAAGCTAATTAGCAAAAGCTATAATCGCCTTTCAGTTGTACAGTTGACTTTTGTTTATGCTTTTCCTGTGTTTGTGCCTTTTGTTTCAGAGATAGCTTTTCATTTCATCATGATTCAGATTTTTGCTTCATCTCTAAGCCCATGTATACCTTCAAGAAGGGAATTGTTTTGTACATGACCAGCAACCTGTAGGCACTGGGATGACTTGGGAAATGAGCACATGTAGTTTTGAGTGCTATGTGACGTGGTTGGGCAGGTGGCACACTTTACAGACACACACTTCTCTAGGTGTTCTCAGTTACTGCCTGTACTATTTGCTGGTGTAGGCTTCATTGGTGTGCATGCTGGCAAATATTTACAAATGCATCAAGTGTCTGTAGACGGTATTAAAATCAAGTCCAGAAAGAGCTGCAATTTCTCCTAGCCATTCCTAGTTTGTTTGTTTTTGCCTATAGCACCAGGTATTCCCAGGTGGTCTCCCTTCTAAGTACTAACCAGGCCTGGCCCTGCTTAGCTTCCGAGATTGGGTGCATTCAGGGTAGCATGGCCGTAGACCTCCCAACCATTCTTTTGTTTTTGTTTTAGTTTTAGTTTTTCGAGACAGGGTTTCTCTGTATTGCTTTGGAGCCTGTCCTGAAACTCGCTCTGTAGACCAGGCTGGCCTCGAACTCACAGAGATCTGTCTCCCAACCATTCTTAACCATAGTGGTTCTCTGCCCGAGCTGAACTCTTCTTGAGGACAGTTTCCTCAACTTTCAAGAGAACTGACTTGTCATGGGTTAAGTGGAAATGACTCTTCCAAGTCGCTTCCTCCCTGTTTTATAGCTTCTCATCCCTTCCTTTTCTTTGCTTCTTTCTTTATTCACTCATTCACTGAGGCGGTGGCTCACTGTGTGTCTCTGGCTGGCCTGGAATTCACAGACCTGCCTTCCTCTGCATCTCTGTTCAGTTTTGAGATGGGATCTCGTGTGTCCCAGGGTGACTTCAAATTCACTATGCAGCCAAGGATGGCCTTGAACTCCAGCTTCTCCTGCCTTCTTCCCAGTGCTGGGATAACAGGCAGGAGCCTCCATACCTAGTGTATATCGTGCTGAGCATGGAGCCCAGGGCTTCACACATGCTAAGCAAGCACTCTGCCTCCACGAACTTAGCCACACCAGTCTCTGCTTTGTTCATGAAGAGACACAGGAGGTTTGTATTCTGCTGTGATCTAGAAGATGCAGGGTTCTCTGACCCTCATTTTGATGAAGACCAGTGAGCAGTTGATACTAGGCTGGCCTTGTACCTCTGGGAAGCACAGTCCCCCAGTGAGCTTGAGCATTCTGGTTCAGTTAACTAGAACTGAAGACATCAAGTCAGTGAAGATTCTGGGTTTGCTTTTATGGATTCTATTTCAGTGTTTGAATGTCTGCCTCTGATAGACAGAGTTCTCATCCTTGAGGAAAGATGGCAAATAAACATTGAGTTGAGATTATTAATGGAGAATGGAGAATAGCAACTTTTAAATGACCACATGTTTTATAGTGTGGATTTGGAGAGCCTACCCTCCCCTATGACCTAGCTCTGCACGATTTGACCTCGTGTGACTCACTTTTTACTTGTCTCTCCTTGTGTTCTTCCTCTAATACAGACAACCAAACATATCCCCAACAAAACCTCTGCCTGGTCTCCACACTTGCTGATTGGCTCTCTTTTCCCTAGGAATCCCGTACTAACCAGGGTCTTCTGATCAAAAGCTGTGACCCCAGGTCACTGTGTTCCTTGCTCTGCTTGGCTCTTTGCAATGCTGTCAGATATGCTTCTGTTTGCCCCCTTGTAAGTCTGCTGGAGAGGTTGCTTTCCTTCTTTCCTGAGTTGTTAGCATTTGGAGCAGCCGCAGGCCCTGCAGGTATTATTTGTGGAAGAAATGGATGCAAGAACCTATCAGGTACGGAATGCTAGGGCTACCCAACCTGCCCAGCTGTGGGATGACCCCAGAGGATGCTGTGCAAATAGTCCCTGAGCTGGTGCTGAGTGTGGTTGGAGACTA